AAACTTTTATGTGGATATCTGGGAGACAAGAATTCCAAGTAGAGGTAATAGCAAGTACATAGGCCCAGATATGTTCAAAGAATAGCAGGATGGTCAATGTTGACAGAGTGAAATAAGCTAGGGAGTAGTGGGTGGTAGGAGATGAGTTCAGAGATGGCATTGAATCGGATAATGGGGGTGCTATTTACTCATATTCAGAGAGGAATAGAGAAAGGAGCATGTGGGGTGATGTTCTATGTTGTAAAATCTGTATTTGAGTATGAATAAACTCATATCAGTATGTTTAACATACTGATAAACATCCATGTGAACTGTAAGCTCAGCATTAAATAAAGAAGTTTGAGGAGTGGTTGGGGCTATAGAGATACTTTTGTGATCATCAGCATGAAATATGTGAAGCTGGATGAGATCACCTAAGGAATGAGCACAGATGAAAAGCCTTGGAACTCTCCAATATTTTGAGATTGGAAAAGTGAGCAGGGATCAACAGAGGAAATCACATGTAGGAGAAGTTTTCCACAGTCTGGTGAAGAAAGTGTTTCCAAAAAGATTGACCGCCTTTGTCAAATGCTGCTAATAAGTTAAATAAGGTGTGAGCTTTGAGATGACCATTGGGTCTGGCAGTTGGAGAGGATTGGTGACCCTAGCAAGATTGGTTTCAGTATATTGGTGCAGTGAACCAACTGATTGGTCTTGAGAGAATGGTGGCAAAGTGGGACAGCAAGAATGGTGAATGCTTTTGAGGAATTTTTCTGTAAAGGATTGGGGTGGGGGTTGCAGAGAAAAAATCTGTCAGTAGCTGAAGGGAAATATGAAACTGGCTATTTGTGGTAGTTTGTTTCGGAGATGGGATTCATGACAGTATGTTTTATGCTGGAGGCAGTGATCTTGTAAAATAGGGAAAATGGTAAGAGAACAAAGGTTTACTCCAGTTATATCCTTGATAGATGAGAAGGAATTAGATCCAGTACTCTAGTGTAGCAGAAAGTTTATTTTAACAGGAGGGATAGAAAACACATTTTGTTACAGATATAAGTAAGTTGGTAGATTTAATGGTAGAATTTTGTAGAAGTTCTTCTGACTGCTTTTGTTCTTCAGACATAAGAAGTAAGTCCTTTAGTTGCGAGTGGTGAGGGATAGGGGTTGGAGGTTTGAACAAAGGAAAGGATATAAAAGTCATCTAGGAGAGTGTAAGTATGCATTAGCAAGGGAAATATAATAGGTTTGGTGGGCCTTTTGAAGGATCCTCTGGAGATTTTTGGATGTGAATTTAAAATGAAACCAGTCAGCAAAGTTATGTATTCTCCAGCCAGGTTCTGGAGCTCAGCATAAACCTGGAGGAGTGCCAAGAATTGTATTTAATCAGAGTTGGGATTTTTCTAAGCTTGTTTGTGCCAGAGGTGTCAAGGGTAGCACAAGAGATGAATGGGGAAAATGTAAGAGTTTTTTTATTGATAGATGAAGAAACTAAGCCAAATACAAGGAGAGAGATGAGGAACAGTGAAAAAGTAGTATGGTCACTGGATTGGAAGTCCCAGTGGAGTCAAATAATTACTGGATTCAGGATGACAAATGGAGTAGAAGCTGACAGTGGGGAAAGATAAGATCATTGAAGGAGGAGAAGTCAAGAAACTGAGAAACCAGGATATTGGGGTGTCATCCTTGTGAAATTGTAATCACCAAGATTTATGATAACAGTAGTACTGATTCATGGGCTCTTTTTCTCCAACTACTAAAATCTTCAAGATATAGGGGGAAAAATGACTTCTATGTCTATAAATGACAGTAACGTAAGTGTTACAATCTAGTGCTCTCTTGTCTAATATGGTAGCCACTAGCTACATGTGGCCATTAAATTTGTCATTAAAATTAAATAAAATTAAAATTTTGGCTGAGGTTAATCAGCCGAGTGGGACATGGGTGGCAGGAGAGGGGGGAACAGCATGAACGTTTCAGGTCAGGAAACCAACTGGCAGAGCATCCCTACATGTGGCCATTAAATTTGTCATTAAAATTAAATAAAATTAAAATTTTGGCTGAGGTTAACCAGCCGAGTGGGACATGGGTGGCAGGAGAGGGGGGAACAGCATGAACGTTTCAGGTCAGGAAACCAACTGGCAGAGCATCCAGCTGAAGCTGTTTTGTCAAATTGAGGATGCCGTGAAGAAAGCTGGTTGTCCCCAAGCTTTCGTCAGTTGTAAGACTTTTTCCTTTTGAATTAAAGTTTTTCCCAACCTCAGATTTGGGTGGTAGAAATGAGACAGTGCGTGTTTCACATGCCTGGGTTAACCTGTCACCAGAGGAGAATGTTCACAGAAAGAACTCTGGCAGGGAGAAGGCTGACCAGCCTTGCCCACCTTCGCCTCCACCCTTCGTCTTCCTACAGACTGAAGTCCAATGATGCTGCCCCATCCTGTTTCACTCAAATACTGTATTTTCCCAGCAAAATGAGTATAAAACCTCACAAAGCTATTAAGACATTATCTAAAACTTTTGAGCTCTCTGGGAGAGAATTATTATGGTATATTTAGTATAATAATGTGTAGTTAGCATTTCTTAGAAAGAATAACTGAATTCACTTTCTTAAGTTAGAGGGTTTTTTGTGAGTTCAAAAAAAAAAATTTAGTTCCTAAGTGCAGTGGATTGAATGGCTCTCTAAAGTCATTAAAGCTTAATCCCCACTGTAACTGTTGAGCTGGAGAAATCCTATTATGATAATTGAAAGGTGGGGCCTTTAAGAGGTGATTAGATTGTGAAGACCATGCCATAGTGAATGGATTCATCTATTTAAGGGTGTAATAGTAGTTGTGGACCTAGTTCTGAGGGCTTTAAAAGAAGAGGATGTGAGAGTCTCTCTCTGTTTCCACCATCTCACAATGTGATACCCTGTGTAGCTGAAGCCACCTCCAAGGAAGGCCTTCACCAGATGTGTTCCCCAGAGTTTGGACTTCCTACCCTCAGAAACTATAAGCAATAAATTTTGTTTTCTTTATAAACCACCCAGTTTTAGGTATTTATGTTATAAGCAACAAAAATGGACTAATATATTCAGCCATACTATCCACATTGCAAGTGCTCAGTAGTCACATGTGGCTAGTGACTGTCGGATTGGATAGCACAGACATAGATTTCAATCATTACTCAATCTATTGGACAGCATTGATCTAGTGCCATGACGTTAATAGAAGCTGGAAGATTTTAGGGAGGAAAGTAGGATGATGAGCTGGAAGAGATTGTGAAAAGCAAGGATTGCACCTAACTCACCTCCAGGTTTATGTTACAAGGTTCATCAGAAAAGAAAGAATGCTTAGAAAAAAGGTTAAGGATGGGGTTTTGCAGGGGATGGATCATGAGTTCTAGAGGGTACAGTTGGAAAGGTTTGGGAGGAATAGAATATAGGGTGAAATTAGACAATAATAAAGATTGTATGGGTTTCCTGCCCATTTGAGTTAAAAAATTTTTAGTGAATGAAGAATTAAGGGAATTTTTTTGTTTTTGTTTTGATAAAGGGAATGCACCAAAAAGTCTACAACATCCTATATAGGGAAAATATTAGAAGCATTCTCTAACATCAAGGAAAAAGATGTCTATTTTCACTTTCTATTCAACATAGTGATCCTAGCCATCATAGTAAAATAAGAAAAATAAATTTATTTCAAAAGGAGTAGAAGGGGGAAATAAGTCATTTTTTGTGATGATTTGCTTGTCTAC